GTTCCTCACTTTGCGGGAGGCAAATTATGAGTCGGCTTGAGAGACAAGGTATGATTGAAAAGTAAATTCTGTCTTAGAACGACAACAAATATCCTCACTTTAGAATCACTGCGAAACAATCATATCATGAAACGAGTCTTTGCTCTGCAGTCGCTGAAAAATGGGCCATATTTCTTTTATGAGGAAAATCATGTTATCATCGATAGACATTTCTTTAGAAACATATGCTGAACAACCCCTGAACATGAAGGTCGTACTTAAAAAAAAGATTCCGACTTTCGAAACGCGTCAGTCAACGAAGCTAGCAACAGTGACGAACGTTCGCACTTATACTGATACATAAACATGGCGGTATGAAGCAAAAGCACTACCTCCTCATCATGCAATCCGAGGCGCTGAACAGCAGCAGTCGAACTAGCAGGATATGGCAAGGCGTTGAGCTCGATTTGCTCAGCTGCATCAATTTGCCTAGGATCGATTTTGCGCTGACAACATACGAATCGACGCCGCTATCTCGTCGAGGATCGAAGCGAGGGGAGACCGAGCAATCGACGTTCTGTCGATTCTGAGAGTGGCGAACGAGTTACTCGACTCTCTGTCACGAATATCGATTTCTTACCTTACCGTACCGCTGTCCGTGACCAGACCTGAGGAGTTGGCGAAAGCACTGTTTTCATTTCGATTTCCGTCCGTTTCGATTATGTCCTGATGCCCGTCGTCCTGTTCGTGACTGCAGCTGCCAGACAAGACAACGGGTGTCAATAACCATTTCATTGCTAGGTACACAATTGGCGTCATGGCGAGCCTGGTCGAGAACGAGAACTAGTCGAAACCCGTGTCAGCTGTTTTACCATCCCCCCGGTATTCAAACAACGACCTGTTTGAATTGTGGCCGTGCCTTTGGACAAGCGAAGAACTTGACTATCATCTAAAGTGTTGACTGCTCTTCTTGTTCGCCTAGGAAGCAGCTGGTCTTCAGTCCCACGAAGAATGAAGCATAGATAATCAAGTACAAGCACGCATTATCATTTCTTGATGGACGTCATTAACAATTAGCAATGGCACATGAGTATTTGACAAAGAGTGTTTTTTACTGCTCAAAATGGGAGGTGGAGACCTTGGAAATTCTTGATGAGTAAACGACCCTCTTAGGTTCATAAGGATTAGTGTTTGATTCTATTCTAGTAGATAGCAGAGTTCCCTGCTGCTAGCCCTTCTGTTGCTGATATTCTGAGCAACTGTATATATTGGTGTAAAACGGTCATTCATTTGTTTGCTCATTCATTCGCTTATTCATCGTACGTTCGTTCATGCGATCTCATAGATGGGTTAGATTCCACAGAACGTACAATCGGAACAGCAAATCTCCTCAAATTGGTTCTGTCATATTCATGTGCTATAGTGTTCCTTCCCTCTTTCCATCCAATTCCTTTTCATCATTCTGTGTTCTTTTTTATGCTTATGCATGTTGACTGATGCGGTGTATTATGTGTAGACTTAACAACTGGTCAGTGATTGCTGAAATCTTAGTCGGTGCTGATATAACTTACGATTTCTGCTAATTTTGGCGGTAAACCTTTTTGAATGAATGATTTGTACATTCGTTTATTCGTCAATAGGCTCATCCATTCAGATATTCATTCATTTTCAGTTGTGCGTACGTTAATATCTTCGTCGATAAATTGTTTCATCAATTGATTGATTAGCTCATTCATTATTTATTCATTATTTCGATCATAAGGCTTTTCGCAATAATGTTCCCGGTTGATAATTTCATTTTTCTTTTTCGATCAATGGTTCTCTTTATGCATCGACTATGGATAGAAAAAGAAAATCAGGTTTAAGAAATGGGCATAGCACCAAGAAGAGCTTCAAGGACGATTCGTTACAGAAACATGGTCGTAAAACCTACGATCCATTTGTACATCCGTACGTTCATTAATTCGCTTATTCATCATTTTTTGTTTATTCACTGTTTATTCTTTCAGCTGTTCGCTTGTTTATTCATTCATCAACAATATATTCTTCATTGATTCATTTTTCATTCGCATTTGCGACTGACACATTGTGTTGATTTATAATAAACTGTCAGGTCGATCAAGGCGAATTTGAGCCGTGCGTGCACACATACGATAGCATGGTTATACGTCTCGTTTCATCGGGCATACCAGCGTCTAAATACCATATAGTTCGGACCGTTTAGACGATGAATTAATACCCATTTGTCTAGTTGTTGCACAGAAACAATTCGTTACATACATACATACATACGTACATACATACATACATATATACATACATACATACATACATACATACATCTCATAGATACTTGCATACATACATACATACATACATACATTCATACATACATATATACGCACATACATACCATACATACACACAGACATACATACATATATACATTCATACATACATACACACATACATACATACATACACACTACATACATACATACATACATACATACATACATACATACATACATACATACATACATACATACATACATTGTGCCAAAGTGAACAGTGATTGTAAATGAGACATTGCATGTATTGCAAAATACCAATTCTGACCTACTGATTTCATGAATTACCGAAGTCGAAGAACAAGAAGTGTGGAAATTTTGCGCTGTGTTAGGAATCGTTTCCTGCAGGTACACAGCGATTCATCATTCGCATTTTCGAGCTACACCTTGTGCTGATTATTACGTCAGATAGACAGTTATTCGTCGGATAAAACGGATCACTACCCTGAGAAGATTTTGCATCACATGAGATGGCAGCATCCCTCTCTCTACCTGTGCCATCACACAAACTTTTACATAGCTGATTCGTTTGTTCATTGCGTTGCGTTGATTCATTCACTCACTTGTTCATTCGTGAGTGAGTCAATTGACTTCGATTTGCTACGTCATCATCCTTTCTTTACGGCTTCTGTCAATTTTTGGATAGGTAGTTGATCGTTTAAAAGATATTCGCAGATGTGATTTCGGTCATCTGGGCCAAAAGTCGACAACAATCAAAGTAAAGTAGTGGTAGTAGAGCGAAGTACAGTGAAGGGTTATTCTTCAAGGGTAAAAATCTGTGATGAACAATGAAACAATGAATCACTTAGTTAAAGAGACTATGGTAGTCATCACTTTAAAATCAAGGCTGCTATGCGTTCAAAGTATTTGTATATATGATACGGTCATTCTAACCATGGTCGTAGCAATTGTAGGAGGAAACATTGAGATTTTTTGTCGTTTAATCCTCACTTTAAATGGAAGAGGAAAATTCACTGGGTAATTAGAGGTATGGTGAAAAGCAGTCAGGATCCGCGTTTGTTGATGAAACAAAACGTGTGTCGGCGTCTTTTCATAAGTTCTTATATTGTATCTGTGCAGTGCAGTTCCTTCGCAGCAAATCATCAATGCCAATGGAGGGTTTTCTTGAAGATCAGTGATAATATCGATTTTCTAAACATACATCAGCATACATCAAAATGGTCTATTTTCAGTATTACCGCAATTCCTAAATATTGTCTTATTTCTTGTCCCTACGGGCGCCATCACGCTTGTAGTCCAATTTTCACAGTCGTGCTGCATGTGTTTTGGATGGCCTCCAGAAGTCATTTGTGGATTCGCTCAGCAACATGATGTTATCCTTACAACCAAGGTCCTGTAGAAACACCACCGAGTACCTTGAGCTGCGTCGCTAAGATGTAATGATTTCTGATATGATCTGACCATAATTCCTCAGTGTACGTAAAAACTGACCAACCGACATTGCTGGAGACGTATCGGTTGGCACTTGCGACTCACATGTTCTGGTAAAACAGGTGTTTCTTACCTCTGTGGCAAAGCTTGTTTGATCGTAAAAGGATAGGGCGTGTATTGTCGTGTGGCATCGCGCTAAGAAAGCCACGACAGGTCGATAACATCAGAACAAATGGCAGAATTTTGTGCCTTTTTGCGACTGGCAAACTTTATGAAGTCAGTGATCCGCCTGTTTTTTGGTGGCATCGACTGGTGATCTATACTACAACTGAACAGGTCAGTGCAGAGTGTAGATGGTAAAGGCAAGTCATAGCAGGAACTGAAAACTAAGCTAACCAGATTCGATGAAAGGCCGAGCCTCCATTACTCGCCTGCATTTAACTTAATTACCAAGTGACTGTCACAGCAGGAAGTGCACAATGTATGTGCTCTATTTTTTCATATCCTTTTTTGATTTTTGACCTAGAAGATTTTGAACTTTGTTTCTGGGTTGACATTCCTCCAAAAATTATTTTCCCATTATGTGATTTCTCAAGACGGAAGATTTTGTTCGTGTTGAGCATCTCTTTTGCTGTCCTTCTATCGCAGAGTCCACCAACCATCTCTAACACGAGTAACGGGTAGCTTTCTCGTTCTTCTTTCTCCTCTTCCTCTTCTTCTTCATCTACAGTGGCAAACTAGTATGGGCTCCGTCATACGTTTTTCTGCCAAACGGTTCTGTACTTTCTTTTATATCCACCCTCCGGTCTGAAGAGCAGCGATGCCTATATCAATCAGAATACAGACTGATGCTTTTCAACATTGTGCTCGAATTTCTTCTCTGAAACTATGCTGACAGTGGCAATGATAAAGGTAAGGCGAAGCCTGAGATGTCCGGCTAGATATCTTACTGATCTCGAGAATGCAGATGATAGTGTCTTGGCGAGTACTACTTGGAGCGGACTCTGACTCTGACGACTACGGCTAGGCATGCCGGCCTCTGTCTGAAAGTTCGGAAATCCAAACATATGAATAACCCATTAGACACGGCTGGCCTACTAGTGGAACAGAGAGAGGGAGTACTACGGGAGGTCGACCAGATTAAGTATTTTGACTTAATCGTCTCCAACGCTGGCCGCTATCAAGCCAGAGTTAAATGGGAGAGTCGTCCCATCTCCGAGTGCTTTTGGAATCCTGCCCAGTACGTGGGTAGAGAATGGAATTACTTTTCCGACGAATGTTTGCTTGTACCTTGCTTCTGTCAAGTCAGTGTTGTTGTACAGCTTGTATGGCAGGGAGAAAACGTAGCAAGAACAACCATTGAACTGCATGCAGGGTTGGTTTCGACACATTATGAGGGTCAAAGAGTAGGACTACGTAAGGAGTGACTCAGTTTTCTTCCAGACACAGGAAAGGATATTGGCTCTGTAGACAACCTGATTGAGCAGAAACCATTTACCTCGGCCCACAAGCTTCTAGTGTTGAACAGAAACACGCAGACGTCGACGATGAGGCCAGAATGCAACGTGGAGGTGCAAGACAGAAGCAGATCAGCTTTCGGAAATATGTCTCCTTCTAAGATGCACTAGCCGTTACCATATAGCAGAAGTATTGTTAAACTGCAAAGGACATCACAAAGCAGAGGCATTCTGCTTATGCAAATAGCTCGGGGTGACGACCACATACATAATACAAACATTCCCATATTTACGTAAATTCGACTTACACAAATTATTCCGACAAGGCAATGGATAAAAATGTGTTACAAACGTTTCAGTTTTACTTAACTCGCCTACAGTACTCGCACTCTACTTTACAACGTTCTCGCGCAAGGCAGAAAGCCCACGTGATGCAGGCCTGCACCCTTCCTCAGTGTTGCTTTGTTGACTAGTGAGCATGGAGGTGTGTTGTGCATTTGCATTCATATTTTTCAAAGATTTTTAGCGCGTGTGTGCGATGTGGTAGAGGACAATGATAGGTGAAAACAGAACAGAAGTGGTTAAAATTAACCAG